GGACCCATGCCCCCAACTTTAAAGAAGCAGATCATTGGGCCAGCCTGGTGGCGCACTGGAGAGTGCACCGCTTGGGAGCGCGGCGGCGCTCCCGCCGAGGGTTCAGATCCCATGTGGAGACCGGTTCCCGCTCACTGGCTGAGTGCGGTGCGGGCGCAACACCGAGGATTGCGATCCCGTTGCTGGTCCCCGGTACGGGCGCGACACCGAGGGTTGCGATCCCGTTACCGGTCAGTAAAAAAGACAAAAAGGAAAAAAAAAAAAAGAAGCAGATCATTGAAGCTGGGTGATGTGTACATGGGGATTCATTACACTATTCTCTCTAATTCTGTGTAAGGAAAATTATGAACACAAATAAACCTGTAAGGAACCAATGTCTATATCTGAAACTTTTAAGCACAAGATTCTACTGGTTGTTTCAGCCAAGAATATATAAAATATTTGAAAACTGCTCTCAACATCAAGTATGTATTATCTCTTTATCACATACTAGAGTATCACATACTCTTTCTTTGGTATTACTACTCCGTCGCCTAGAAGAACCGCTCAGGGAGTATTTTTCCTTTTTCTACTGATACTAGTTATATACACATACACACACAAAATCAGGACAACTAACTCACCATTAACCCCAATACATCTACTGTTTAATGGTGGGCCCAATGGGTATACTAGGCCTTTTTAAAAGCATGACTCATCTGAAAGTGTCAAAAAAAGAATCCCCCACATAACACAACTTCAAAAAAATAGCCAAAATACCTGAGAAAAAGCTGTGAACTTAATCTATGGTCAAGATACAATTTTACAAAGTTTATACACAGATTTTGAATTTGCTGGCATATGATGCATTAAACAAACTTAAAGTATTAGTTGAAATTTCTTAAAAGTAACCATATGTAGGGGCCGGCCCGGTGGCGCACTGGATAGTGCGCCGCTTGGGAAGCGCGGCGGCACTCCCGTCCGAGGGTTCGGATCCCACATAGGGATGGCCGGTTGCTCACTGGGTGAGCGTGGTGCTGACAACACCAAGTCAAGGGTTAAGATCCCCTTACCGGTCATCTTTTTTAAAAAAAAAAAAAAAAAAAAAAAAAAA